GGTGCATTCTTGAGAATGAGGGAAATGGACACCCTGCCTTGAACAAAGACAAGGAACTGAGATCTAGAAATCAGCTCTTTCTCTGATACATCCAGTCAGGTAAATGCAGTGCCTTGCGCATCAGTCTGCAAACTACCCATCTGAAGTGTCCAAAAATGTGTGCCCTAAACTCTGACAGATCTGACACTCTGGAATTCTTTGCCAAGCTGGGGTGGCTCTGTTATAAGGAAGGTATCTAGAGATTACGAAGTGGTGATATTTATATCCCTCCACAGCAGCTTGCATTAAGGAGGTGAAATCATTGATAATAAATATAAAACTGAATTTTAGGACATGGGGAACCATTGTGCAATCAACGAATGTACAGATTTAGGGACATTTTCTGGGACTCTTGTCAAGGAGATGGCACAATGTGGTGAAAAGAGCCCAGGCTGAGATTCGGAAAGATGGTATTCGGGATCTCACTCTGGCTCTGTCGTGAAGGAGCTCTTGGGCCTTGGACATTTCCCAACAATTATAAGCCCCACCTTCATTGTAAAATATGGTGAAGTCAGGTTCTTAAGTATCATCAGGAAGCAAAAATCAAGTATCATCAAAACCACCTGAAAAATGCTTGAGGAAGGCACGATATTGGAGCCTGATGTACCACACGTCATCTCTTCCTAAGTCCAATGTTGCTGATTCCCCCTACCCCCACCCCCAGCGTTGGACAGCATTGCTGTTGACTCAACTGAACACCAGATGAAGTGGCTGGCTTGCATTCAGGAGCCACATTGTAACCAAAAAAGCATACTCTTTAAACACTGAAACCACGTTCAGTGAGGTGAGATTCTTCCCAAGAAGCACATGGTCCCAACTGAGGCAATGGGGCCAGGGGTCTATCTCCCATTTCCCCTGATACTGTTTCTGCACATGCTAAAAGGAGAAAATGATACCTCCTCATCACTACCCACCTCAAAAACATTTTATGAGATTGGCTGTGGAAACACGTCACAGGAAACTTCACAAAGTCCACGTCAGTGAAGTAAAATTTCCAAAACCAGTTTGTCGCAACCACATTGTTTGACGCAGCCAACATTTACAATAATGTAGTATCTGCACTTATGATAGAATCTCAGGGCTCAATGTTCTTTGAAGAATCCAGTCCAATTCCCTACCCGAAGTAGAGTCCCATCAACCACAACGAAGGGAACTGCACAGAGAGGGAGCTCACTTTTCAACGAGGTGACCTACTCTGCGTTGCACTTAGACATGTTTCATTCAATGACTTAACGTCTGCTTTTGCAGAACTTTCATTGATTTTTGTAGTGCCTTGTGTAGATACACAAAATAAGTATTCTTGCATGCGACAGCACTTCAGATATTCAGAGATAGCAATCATGTCTCCTTTTCCCACAGGACATGGGTACCAAAGTTTCATTCACCATCCCCGACACCTGCCTCCACATATACAAAATTTACCAGTGTCCCCACTACAACGTGGGCAGGAGAACCAGGCCTACCTATATGTGAGGTTCTTCTAAGAGAAAAACTCATTTCTTAGAATGGCTTAGAATGTCTTAGAATAATGGCTACAAATGCAGAGTAAACACATCATAGTGCTACAGATTAAAGATCCTTTTCTTTTCTTTCTTTAGATTTATTTATTTGAGAGAGAGCGCGACCGTCAGGGGGAGGGGTAGCAGGAGAGGGAGACAATCTCAGGCAGACCCCGCTTCTGAGTGTGGAGCCCGACGCAGGGCTCGATCTCACAACCCTGAGATCATGACTTGAGCCAAAATCAACAGTTGGACCCTCAAGCAACAGCCACCCAGGCATCCCGAAGATTCTTCATAAATGAAAATTTCAGGTGTGTCCATTTATTGATACAGAACATGGACAGAAAAGAATGGGAAAAAAAATTCACCACCTTAATTCCACGCACACACACACACAATCCAGTATCTAAAGCTCCCTATTATTTAAAGTTTGAAATGGTTCCAGGGTTCGTGTTTGGGCCTGCATGTATGCTGTCTCCAGAATTCATTTTTTAAGGATCCAGCCTAAACAGAATCAAGATACTGGGATTTATTTATGTTTTCTAACACCCAGAGATAATTGAGAATGTCACAGTTATTTGTCAAGAACATTATGACCTGGTGAATCCATCAACTTTAACACGAGTAATTATAAGAACAGACTAAGGTTATCTTCCTAAAAGCCCTAACAGCTCCTAAACAAATGGCATCCCCTAAATTTTCTTAATTCCATGGCTCTTAAAGGACCAATGGCTGAGTAATCTACCAGTGATATACAGTACTTCTCTCTGTTATCTATTGTAATCACTCTCTGGGTCTTGCAATGACTGAGATGTATGGCCTATACAAGTTGGGATATACACTGTGAAATCTGTCCATGGTTTTTGCTAAGAGTTGCCAAGTTTAAAATAGAGTGTAGGAAAATTACTCATAGTGTGGAGGAAGATGGGAGAAAAGCACCAAATGGGCTTTTAATGAGGACTTCTCAGTGTGAACATATGTAAAAAGAACTTCTAGATATAGGCATTGTGATAAATAAAAATGATCCAGCTAAGTTCTCAAGAAAGCTTATTAGGTACAAGATGATGGTGATTATATGTACAGTGAACAGCTTATTCATGAAAGACCATTTTGTTCACTGTTCAATGGACCAGCACACTTGGCTCCCTAGAAACACTTCAACTAGACAAAATATACCAACACATTAGTCATAAATATAGCTTTATTATTATAATATTTATTTCATAATCTAAAAAGTTTTTCTTTTGAATTCTGGGAAAAGAAAATTCCAACTTCCATACAACTGATCTACCCTGCAGAATGCTGGAAAACAGTGTCTAAGCAACCTGAACTTTGCAGTTGAAAATCTATAACCTAGCTTGGGAATAAAAGAATGAAAGACCAGTTCAAAGAAAAATTTCTTCCTTACAGAACAAATAATAAAATTAGATCCATTCTTCAGTTTAGCCTTGAACATGTTTTCCCAGAAACTTTGGTAATTTCTCCAAAAATCAACTCGCAGGCTGACTGCCCATGTGGACAAAATATATATGTATATATATATTTGAAAATAAGACCCAAGTGGGACACGGTACATGGCCCAGGCCATGGCATGTAAGGGAAACATCCCTTAGAGTGAGCCAGCTCCCATGTTTCAACAGCAAATTTACGCCTCTAAGGAAGCACAACATATATAATGCATTTCCTTGTATGATGGTCAGAATTGAGTTGGAATTAAAAAGAATTTTTTAATATAATAAATCTTAAAATCAGTTGTCTTGTGTAATGTATGTAGAGTAGATATGACATTATGGCGCTTTCTGAAGATAACGGAGTACCACTGTCAAAGAGAGCTATCACGCCCTCTAGGCATATTAAATAAAAACTGAAACTGTAGGTTACGTTAAATCAAACAAAGAAAACCTGGCTCTACCACCTTTAAAAACAAGTTGTTGTCATTGCACACACGTGTTACGGGACAAAGGGCATGCAATACAACCAACAAGTCAATTTTTTAGTATGTAAAAGGCTAGAGTGCAATCATGGGATAAACATCAATAATAAATAACTTCGGAGGAGATTAAGTCTCGAAATAAACAATAATTGTAACACTACAATTTTTACAATGTTAGCCTAAACAGTGATATTCACTTCACAGCAATGTTTTTTCCCACTTGATAGTTGCCTATACACCAGATGAATGGCCCTCCCCCGTGAGCCAGATGTCAAAGTGAAGGTTCAAAAATCAACGTTTTAACTATGATAGGTTCAAAATGTTTGTATAATGGTAAGTTACACTTTTCAACTTACTGGCATTTTAAGTAACTGCGTTATACCTATTTTTAATGCATTGCTAATCTGATGTTTATTGCAATAACAATTATTCTACAAATGTTAATTAGGTTACACTTTTAATTTTCAAAATAAGAGAACTGAGCTTACATGAACTAATGTATATAGTTTAAAAACCACCCACTACAAACACACACCTTTTGCATGAGTATTTAAAAATAAATTATTAATATACCTGACATATATATTTTGTGTTATATATATATATATGTATATGTATACATTTGTGGACATAACTACTCTTTTTTCCAGAAGGATGTCAGCACTCGTAAACTCTGTAGAAGACCTGATGATATTGTTAACATTAAAAAAAAAAAAGTAACGTGGAAATTCATTCTTGATGAGAACCATAAAGCAGGAGGTTCTTAACAGATGGTTCTTTATGGAATTGAAGGCTTTTTTTGGGAGGGAGAGGACAGTCTCGGACTGTGGATCCCACATGCACTGTTTGTTTCAAGAAACTACTTTAGAAAGCAGTGTCCAGTGAACGCCTCAAACACCTGCTTGGAAGGTAAGAACGTATATCTAGTCATCAAAGGGCACAGAAGCAGCAGGAGGTGGAAAAGAGAGGCCAGCAAGGCGACAGCATGCCCAGAGCCCCGAGCGGCCACTGCTACTACCAAGGGCAGCAGGAAAGGGCTGAGGAAGGTCTGCGGTGTTGCCAGGCCCTGGCTCACGATGCACGAGACGTGCCATCCGCGGCTGCTCCAGCCCTGCAGACCCGGAACTGTGATGGGAGCTGATCAAAGAGTTTCATGGCTGTAAGGTTTGTTGGGGTTTTCCGTCCCAACCACAGACAACACTAACGGCTTTGAAGACAGAGGCTGCAACTTGGTCTCGGGGTGCAGAACACTCAGCCGAAGGAGAGAGCAGAGGCGACCCAAAGTCAGAATAAACATGCATCCAGAGAAACAACAAACCTGAATCGAACAAACTGGAAATGGGAACTGAAGTCTAACGAGATGAGTCCTGGAAGCAACCCAAACGTTGAAATATTGATTAACCAGAATACTTGGGGAAACAGGAATCCTTATTTTTGGAAGCTTTCAAATTAATAGAGGGCAAAGTTAAAAACAAATAAAAATATTACTATTTCACTGCCATTAAGAAAACTTTGCATTCCCATTCTTTGCCCACAATTTAGACAGCAGTAGACACAGAAGACTTTCTTCCTAGTGCCTGACATCTTGTGTGGCCTTGGGCCTTGGCTGAATCACCCCTGCACAGAACCCCAGATGCAGACACTATTGGAGAGTGTTCTACTTATTTCACAAGTTGGAGCCTTCTTTTAACTAAAATTTTGGAATAAGACTGTTGTCATTTTTTTTTTTTCAATTCTTTCTGTAATCTGCCTCTTGCTTCTAAAGGGGGCCTGTAATAAATTTCTGGTTCCCCGAGATTCCCGTTTGTTAAATTCTGGTTAGTCCAGCTGCCTGAATGGCCACGAAATAAATGTGTTATGCCCTTTTTTCCAACGTGTCTTACTATGGGATGTATCCCAAAGGGCATTATTGTTGGCCCCCAGAATAACATTCTGCAAAGCCCGGCAATGATAGTCCAGGGCCACTACCCTTTTAGATGATGTTCACAATTGCTGTTGGCTTTTTTTTGGCCATTTTGGGCCTGATGTTGCCTTTCCGGCTAAACCCCAGAGGCTCCCCTTTCTTCGATGGTCTGCAGAGTTCTCTTGGGGACTCAGCCTGTTCGTGAATGGATTTAGCAGGCTGCATGCTGGCTCTGTCATCCTTGGCTTTTCTCAAGTAGCTCCTTCCTTTTGGATGAAAATGGGTCTTGAGATCAGCGTGGTTACACACAGGATGTGGGTGCCCTCTACTTCTACAGATGGCCGAGCAGAGGGAGATGAGCAGAAAGAAAGATTTTGTTTAGAACCTTAAAAGAAAAAAACAAAACAAAACAAAACCATCCACAGCACAATCACTCCCGCATGCCAGAGTAGCAGAAATGCTGCCAGTTAAGTCAAATACAAATCGGTATTTTTCTTTCAAAAAGTCCTGTAGCCTTCATGAAATGATCTCATGATGCTGAATTCCCAGGGAGATGTTACTCGTTCTCTCACCAGAGACAAAACTGAGACAATGAAAATGTAAGGGACTCTCTAGTATAATACATACAGTTGGTCTATGGGAAAGATGAGACCAGAATCCAAACCCCTTGACTCTTTAAGTGACTGTATATAGTAGTAACAGTCATGTAGGCATCATAAAGTATGTGATTCCTAGCATAAATTTATACATATATTATATATGATGTAGTATACATGCATTAATACTACTATAGAGCTATTATGATTACACTATACCTCAATAAGAGAAAGTTACATTATAGAATACTGTAAAAATGCTCCTGGATCACTACCGTACCACCATATACTAATAGGCTATTAGCATAGTTAAAAGTTGTATCCACAATTTACAAAATTAGGTACCCAGGCAGGTACATTTTCACCGGAGACTCTCAAATCCATTTCGAATACAGATGTTATATACATAAAATGTAACAGGAAAACACATTATGCAAACATTATCAAATGGCCCAAGTATAAAAAAGATATACATACAGGCATTTGGATTTCCTATTTGAGATGATATCTGTAAGCTGAAGGAAAACAAATGAGAAAAAACATTACTTCGCTTGAAGGTTGGATTTGGCTTTAAAAATCTTTCTTGCTTGTATTTTTAAGAAACTGTTCCCATTAAGGAAGCCGGGAACTGTTATCAGTAGCACGGCCCACGGCACCTTCCGCCACAGCAGGGAACAAGAACATCTCGTGCTCGGCCTCTGCTTCCTCGGGGAGCCTCTGTGGCTCGCTGTTCTGAGATTTTCAAGAAGCCATTATCAGTCGATCTAAAAAACTTCAAAATGTCAAAGGGCCCTCTAATGGAGCAACATCTGAAGAAACATGTTTTTTAAAACTCGAATGATGTGCCATTATTTCTTGATTAATTCAGGCTGCATGTGCAGCTAATTTACTACAGCTGTGCTTGGTGACAGTGTATCAACTAAAGGGAAAATTGGCATAAAATGTTTATTGCCTAAAATACATCATTTCTAAACTGAGAGCCTATGAAGACCAACTCCACAACTGTCCCCGAGGCCATCTATCATTGAGATTATTTTCCACTCCCAATGAAGTATCTGCATGCCCTTTTGTGGCTGGGCTCAAATATCATTTGCAGAACAAATTGAGAACTATCATTTTGTGACCATTCACTTTAGAGGCAAACCCAGTGTACTCCCAACCTTCATTCCTGACCTCCCTCATGTAGCCTTCGCTAAAAGAAGTGCTATCACAGCAGGAGGCAGACCCACAGAAGAGGATAATAAGGAAAATGTGCAGAAAGGGCCATCTTGGTGTTGGGGCCCAGTGTGACCAAGACGAGAGTCCTACCATATTCAAATAATCAGAGAAACCAAGTTCAGTATAACAGGGTCACTCTCCCCGGGTCTCCTGTCTGCAGCTTGAGCTGTAGTCAGAAACAAATCAGAATGGAGTTTCCTTAAACAAACTTTTGAGGGTCATGTCCCCAGGAAGGCAAGATGAGATTCCTGGCTTCTGTCTTCTGACTCAATCAAAAGTAAGCTTTACTATTGACCCTGTTCACACTGGCTGGATTCAACAGGAGATTAATAGAGGTGGACAGAAAAAGGCACCCTCAAGGAGGGTCTTGAGATTATGCAATATACAAAGAAGGTTGGACAGACGGCTCACGCAAGCGTCAGGCTGGCAGCTTCTGGGAAACCCAAAGGTTTCAGCATTTCCATCTTCCTGCCATGGCCCCGCTACCACTAGTAAGGGTTTCTTAGCTTGGCTCCTGGAACGGACTTTAGTATTATGCATAAATTGTTAAAAAAAAAAAAAAAAAAAGCTTACAGTTTTTCTTCCTTTAAATTGCTTCCTTCTTTTTAAAGTTATTCTTAAAGGCATAACAAATTTTTTTCACTTTACTGTATATATGTATGTAAGCATATAGTTTGATGATTTGTTGCATATGTACATATAATACTCTTTGGAATTTTATGTAAAGTTAAGTGTGTGTGTGTGTATGTGTATTGTGTGTGTGTATTTACATGCATATGCATACTTTTCTCCCTGGGGAAAAGCCCAACAATGTTATCTAATCCAAAGAGGTCTGACTTCCAAAATGTTTTAAGAAGCAAAACCTTGGTGCCTATGAATGTCACTGATGGACCCTGCTGGGACCTTAGGAAATTAGAAGAGTTTACTGTGTGTATTACCGAAAGGTAAATGCACAAATAAATATGGGTAGAGATGAGCCATAAAGCTCACCTATACACAGATATATAAGTACCATAACCTGTGCAGGTCTATACGTCACACACTAGATAAAATGCTGACTATATAACCACCACAATTAACCCTCAAAACAACCCTATGAGGTAAGCATTGTCATCCCCATCCTACAGATGTAGAAAGTAAGGCCGAAAAGTTAAGTAGCTGGTTTGAAGCCTGAAAGCTTTACCAGTTTTAGAGCTGGGCTTCAAACCCAAGTTAGGACATTCCACGTCCGAGCAAGACTTCACCCTGTTCTGCCTCCTTAAGGAGCATGTGTTTGTGGAAGAACCAGCAAGTTTGTACACAAAAAGCTCAATGGAATCCATGGCCGGATCTGAATCTCTCCAGTGATTCTACAGATCATGAGGCTTGGCTGGAGGCAGGGCCTGCTGCCACCTTCCCAACAGAACCTCACATGCTCTCCTCCCTGTGAACACAAGAGGCCGCTGTTCCTTCTGGCCCCAAAGCCTCAGGCAGATGGAAACCCTCTGCCCCCTTAGGTCCCCTCATTGGCTCTATTTTCTCATAGTCCAACTACTTTGTAGGAGGATGGCGATCAAGAGAGTCCTTAAGGAAGGTTCTGGAAAAATATAAATAGCTGCACAGAGAGCCCATCTGAGTGCAAACATGGTGTCTCAGTTTGTTTTGGGTTGGAGAAACTAGGCACCCGGCCCTCCTCCCACCTCCCCTCTGTAAATAGCAGCACTGTATACTCAACTGTTCAGGCCAAAATCTTAGATTCATTCTCGATTCTTCCCTTTCCTTCACCTGCTAAAACCTAATCCTTCAGCAATTCCAGCTGGTTTAGTCAACACTGTCCTCAGGATATATCCTATACCCGCCATTTCTCTCCGCCTCCGCTCTCCCCAAGCTGCCGTCCCCCTTCCCCTGCCACACCATAATGGCCTTCTAAACTTCTCTCAGTCCCGTACCCCTCTAGTCTATTCTGCACCCAGCAGCCAGAGGAATTTTGCTAAAACATAAATCACCTCCTGCTTACAACCTACCAACGGCTTCCCTCTGTGCTCTGGAACGGATCCAAATTCCTTCTGTGACCCAGAAGCCCCGGCATGATCTGGAACCTTCTCGCATCTGTGACTTCAGCTCATCCCTCAAACGTGCCAAGCTTGTTCCCTTCTAAGTCACTTCCCAATTTTCACAGGGCCGCCTCAGTCCTGTTATTCAGGTCACAGTCCAAATGCAGCCTCCTCTGCAAGGCTTCTCCTGACCACGGAGGAATGGGGGCGGCCACTCACACACCTCCTCTCACTTTTTTCTTTACAGGGGTTATCACCCTCTGAGATCATCCTAGTTATGTGTGGACTTGTTTCTGGAGTCATCACCCTCCTCACTTAGGGCAGGGGCCTCACCCACCTCATTCACCCTGTTCCCCCAGCGCCCAGTAAGTGCTACGTTCCCAATAAACACATACTAAATGAATGGCTGCTAGCCCTGATGTACAACCCGCAGGAACTAACTGCAACACTTGAGATGATTCGAGCTTTTCATGACCTTCCCTTTGAGCAGGTCTGTGCATGATTTTGGCAGATGGGATATTAGGTCACTTGATGTCTAATTCGACAGCATTTTTTAGAGCACAAAGACAAAGTATCTGAGTAAGCATGTTATGTTTTTAGAAATCAGCCAGGTGAAAACGCAAATGCTCAAGGGAATCAAGGGGAACTACAGATGCCAAAACATCATTTCAGAAAAGGCATTTACTAAACATGAGGGGGAATTTTTCTAGGGCATAAAAGAATCTTAAAGCTAGAACACACCTTGGAAAGAAGCACCTCCTCTATCAATCTAGAAATTTCACTGCTGTCTGGAGGTGGTAATGAGAAAACGAGGGATGGGACAGACACTGCTTCTCAGTGCGGCCTTGGTAACCATGAAGAGCCAGGTCGGCTGGGGACGGCATTCCAGGCTGTCCTGAGCTGCACCGTGGAAGGCCTGGGTCAGAATGTTCTGCTCCATCTCAGGGCGCATTGGAGCAAGGAGCTCTCCTGGGAGGGGCTGAGGCTCCAGAAGCCAGAGCTCCTCACTGTTCTGTGGCTTCACTAAGCTGGACCAAGTCAGTCAATAAAGCGGTGATTCAAAGCTTTTCCTGCTAAAAGCATCCAAGTTCTCCTGTGTGTGGATGGCCACAGGAACCCTGGGAGGCCAGACTTAGCACTTGCCTTACATCAAAGACACTGTTCCTAATTTCAGAGGTGCGTGTATATTGTTAAGATTAAACAGCTGAAGGAAAAGGGAGAAATGGTCTGAGGGTCTGCCGACTGCACCATACATAATGTGCTATGTTACGGTCCAAAGGGGAGTCTGGAGGACTTCCATGAACACGGGGAAAGTGCGTCTATGCTTGATCCTTTCAGAAACAAAGCATCTCATTCTTGGTCCTCTGAGGGCGATGCGTCTTCCCCACAACAGTGACAGTATGCCTCACTGCAGCCTGACTGTGCCTACTCACAGACGGCTCTCACTTCTGTATTCCCCACTACCACCTCAACTGCATTTTCTTTTATTTCAATCAGTCAATTCTTCCTCGGGTAGATCAAGTCTGACGAGGGCAGATCGTGTCATGTTTGGGACACAGGAGATAGAAACATGGATTAATTCCCTGCTGTATTTGTGTGTACAGATGAATGTGCGCATGTGTGCCTGTAAATCTGTATTTCTGTGTGTACATGCGTGTGCACACACACACAGAACTTCGTATATACACAGCTGACTAGAAGGCCTGAGGCCTGTCCAACTTTTGATGGCATCTACCATCTCGGTGAAAATAATCACTGGCAATGTCTCGTAAAGGATGTTTAATTTTCAAGCTGGAAAAATAAACTGAGCCGAGGGAAGTGAGCACAGAAATATAAATCAGAGAGAGAACGAATGGCTCCCTCTCTTCCTCCTTGCCTTCCATTGCTTTCTTTCTTTAAGATCCTCTTGGCTTTGTACAGAATTTTACCCATTTCTTAGCTCTGCGTTACTTGTAAGCCTAAATGCTAAGACTATTCATGCTACATTTTTATTTTAGAATTCTTAACCACCGAAGTCAGGCGACGATCAGAGAATTTAAGAGGCCAAAGACCCTAGCGAGCATCTGGTCCAACTGCTTCATTTAACAGAATTATAGGCCCCAGAAGACAAGGAGCAGGGCAGGAATGATCTGGAAGCCAGGCCTTTTCACCTCACATCTGGGCCCCGTGACCCCATGCCACACTATCTCCTGATAGCAGGATGGGAAGAAGGCAGGTAGGGGTTCAGAGCGTCCGTCCAGCCACACTGCGTTAGGACGGCACTCACAGATTCCCAAGGAGGTGAGAGAGGAACTGAGGAGGGAAGTGCAAGCTCCCTCTCAGGAGATCACAGACACCAACAGGAAAATAATAAACATGTCAGGTGGCTGAAACTGCTTTGATTACAGTTACTAGAACCTCACAGAAGTAACACACTTACTTCTTTCCAGCCCACTTTTGTTCTTGACTGGAAAGTTCTAGAGCTCCCGTTGCTGCCCTGCTCTAAAGTTGAGTGTACATTACAGTAAGATTGTATAACGTTTCTTCACTTCTTCCTCCCCCCCCTCCTTTTTTTCCTGTTGTCTGTCTGTCCCTCCGGCCTTCCTTCTTTTATCTACCTGCTTGTCATCTCATTCCTTCTTTTGTGATTTAATCATGCTTCCCTTTAATCTCGGCTTCCAGAATGCTCAAACTAAACTTTTTAATCTCCAGTAGCAACTTTACCCACATTTTGGTTAGCATAAATGTTCCCTATTTTTCTTTCCGTTATATGTACAGTCCATTTGCAGGGGAAGTAAAAGAATCATTTTAAAATCTTTGGGGAAGGGGCTAAGCATAAATAAAATCAAACAGATCATGAAAATGTTATAAATAAACCACTTTGGGGTTTCAAAAGTCCTTTTTTTGGCTTTGTTATCAAAAAAACTGTTTAGAGGGCAAATACGAGCCCCCATCTCCCTCATCTAGAGCGTGATTATTTGTACCTCCTCCCCAACCCCCAAAGAGACCAGGGAATCTCGATCAAGCCACTTAGCAGAATCTGGACCTTCAGCCATATCCACGGTTCTTGTCTGGGCTCTGGGGGTTTCTTAAGTCCCTGAAACAATATACAAACTTGTACGCAAATATTTATTATAGAACTGCCACTTGTGAAATTCCCTAAGACTTTGTGAAAATCTACTTAAAGAATGTTTCACCTATAGAGACTATCAGATGGTGGTGTCCTTCCTCTTAAGGAAAAAAAAGAGGTATGTGGTTAGATTTTGCCACTACAAAGAAAGGCCAAAGCTTTCTTAAGATTCTCTTGAAGAGCTCCCAAACAGGATAATACCTCCCCATCTACTTGAGCACCCAGGTTGAGACCGATGATTTCTTTGGCAACCTCCAACTCTGTTATTCTCTAATATAGAAATATCTCTACCTGTTTATGTTGGTGTAGCAGTGGTGGGGTAAAGACGACCGTGCATCCGGAATTTCTCTTACTTCCAGATGTCTTGGATTCACCTGTATGACTTCGTAACACAGGGATGGCTGATGCTGATGTCTAGGAGGTTCCCGCAAGTCATTCCCCAGCTCCCCTTTCCTCTGTCCTTGACCCAATCTCACCATACCCAAGGACCGCAGGCATGGTGGCTGGACCTGTGTGACTTACCACGTGCTCGCTGAGGTCTCGGCAGAGGCCGGCAGCCTGCTGGCTTTGATAGTACTCTAACTGCTTTTCTGCCAGTTCTACCCGTTGCAACAGATTCTCAATAAAGTCCTGGAGCCGGGCTTTCCCTTGGACCTCCTTCTCAGCGGCTGCTTCCAGGAAATGGTTGAATGTAACAACTTCTCTGCAAGGCAAAAATGTCAGAACACAAAGCGGAAAAATGAGCCAGGACTTCATTCATTTAACACATATTTACTGAGTGCTGACTCTCTGTCGGGCACTGCCCTTGGCACTGTGCTCGCAGTGATGGCAAAAGAGATAAAATGACATTTTAGTGATTCTATTTCGAGATTGCACTGCAGTAGAAAGAGAGTGTCATTATCGAATATCCAAATAAATATCTAGGTCAGGGGTGATAAGCACTAAGGAGGAAACTGAAATCGGGTGCAAGGGGACAGAAAGTAACAGAAGAAGGGAATGTGTGGGTGGTATTTTAGAAAGGGGTCAGGGACAACCTTCAGAATAGGGAAACAGGGCAACAGATACCAAGGAATAATAAGCCAGGTGGGTGGGCAGGGAGACAGGTCTGACGGACAGCAAGGAGGGCTGCCTGGCTGCAGGCGGGGACTGGGAAGGACAGGAGTGGGGGCCACTATGATGACTCCAGATTTTCTTATAAAGGAGATGGGAAACCAATGGACGCTTTTGAGAAAAGCTCTGACTTAACATTTTAAAAGTCGAGCTGCTGGGGGAGAAGAGAGCACAGGGAGGGAAGGTGTGGAAATGAAAGGGCATGCAGAGTAAAATGAGTCACCTTGTCCGATTGTGCATTTTTGAGCTAAAAGTGAAACAGTCCCAGAAATGCCACCCTGAGGTTGACCCAAGGTCCGCCGGGAAAGCTGTTAGCTGACATGCCCTTCCCCTCAAAAGTTGAGCAAAATACCTCAAATAATATTCCTTTATCTACATAATTCATTGTCATTTACAGATCCAGAAAAATTTTAATAACTTTATTACTATTTGATATCTTTTTATTTATAATGCATGGATGAAATCAACACTTTCCTGACTTAAAATGAAATCCGTTCTTTATAAAGATTCAAATACATGAGGAAGGAATATAAAGAAGAAAATACCATCTGAAACCCCATTATTCTGAGACCACCACCTGTAACAATTTGGTAGCCATTCTCATGAGCAACTCTGCAAAAACACACATACACACAAACACACAGGTGCTTGGCCTTTTTGTCAGGCCAAGCACCAGGTAATCAGCATGACCAACAGGTGCATATTATCACAACTCTCTTCATCCAATTCTCAGTAAGAAATTATGAAGATCTTTCAGCCTTCCCCTTTGTATGTCCTGCCACACCCACCAGGCGTAACGAATTCCATCATTTTACCACCTGTTGGATATGGTACTTCTTGTATGTGTCTTCAGAATCTCTCTTGACCCTCAAGGTGTACCCCCTCCTTTATCTGGCCACTTTCAACGTAATACAGAACCAAGATTCTAAAGACTGCTCATTCTCCTCCCAGCCTCTTTCATTTCAGATTTAGAAATCCCATTTTAAAAAAATCTAACTCCATCAGTTGTTCTAGATAGTTGATGAGATCCACTGCCTTCTCTGCACCTTCCACTTAGGTCCATAATTTCTTGAGAGCAGAACTTCAGGTAAGTCTGACCCAGGAAGTTTTGAAGAAGTTTTTTGCAAAATAGTTGGTAGTGGTTTCTTGCTCCTTTATTCTGTACAATTAGTCAGTGACTCACTTTTACAATTATTTGTGATTTTTTTTCTCTCACAAATATGTCACACTTGGCTATATTGAAACTTTTCTGATACTTCCTTCAGAGTCAAACATCTCTGCAAAACCTTAGAAATTACATATTTATAAAATAGAAAAGAGACTGGTTCTGACATGATTCATCACAGAAGTGCTTATTATACTAGCCCCCCTTTTTTTCTAGTTTCCAGGATCAAACATAAACCCCAATTCCATAATAATTCTATTATCTTTCAGCAGCTAAGAAAAATTCACATAAAAGAAATGAATCCCTTTGGAAAGGAGTTTTCTCCCATCATCAAGTCTCAAGTTTATTTCCAGATGTTTCCGTATGAGCCCTGCATGGAGGACATGAACTTTTCAAGCCGTTCAGGCCACGGACACAAGCCAATTTTAAAGCTCTACTGTCATTCAACCTAAGTAACCTTAAACTAGCAGCAAAATAATGGAGGGCCCATCTGAGGGCCCGTCTGGGTGCTACATCCAGCATGCCACATCTGTTCATGGCTCTGAGGAATGGCTGAAATCCTTTAGATGGAGCTCAAAAGTACCACTAGAAAACAGAACTTGGGCAATGGCTATTCCTTCGTCTTTCTGACATTAAGGCTTCCATTCATTCAGAGTCAAGTCCACTGTAGAGACTTCGTAGAGGATATTTAGGATATCTGAATCATGACAGGAGTTTCCAAACTCCTGTCCACAACCAAAACCCACGACCCTCTCCCTTACCCAAAAGAAAAACATAGACAAAGAGCCAGTGTATTTTTTTCAATTCATTTTGGTTTGTAATATTTACACCTCATTACAGAAATATTTTACATTTATTTTGGGAAAGATAAAAATAGACCTATTAAAAGATCTAAAACTGAGGAAGGGCCAAATCAGCTTTTTTGTTCCCTGCTCTAAGCCCATCATTGATATAATACATGACATATAATGTTCAATATATATTCGTTGTAATGAATATTTTAAAGGACAAGGAAGAAACAAAAAATGACCCATAATCCCAACACCCAGAGGTACCGACTATCAACATCCTAGTATATTTTTCCAGTCTTTTTTTTTTCTATGCATATTTACTATTTGGGGGTTCTCAGGCTGTAAAGCTTAGAATGTAAAACAGCAATATTTGACAGCTTAATCCCACAGGATTAACATCTCAAAAGCAAGAAAACAAACCTGAGTGCGATACGGTTTATGACTGTGTCTATATTTTTAAATCATGGAATGTTTTGCTACTGGTTCTATATAAAACTTTTGCAAATTAACTTCAATGCTCCTAGCTGATCCTGGAGTGTTATGTCATGTTGTAGAAGAGAAGCATCTTTTTTCTAACCTCTCCCTCATGCAATTACCTTGTGCCCTGAAGCTGAGAAGTTAACACCCTTTGCATTTTTCAACCAAACTGGTGTCGATACTAACTTAATTTCAGTTTATGAGTGGTTCACATCAACTAAAAAAAGAAAGAAATAGAAAAGACAGTTAAAACAAGCCTGATGATTTAATTTCAAATAAGATGTTATATAAGATGATGGCTGGAGAAGTGCCTCATGCTGAGAATATGTCTGGGTGTCTGTATTAGATAAAAACGGTAACCAAAGCCAGTGACTAATTGTGGACTAGCCTGTGTGTACAACTTCAGATTCCCCCTTCACATCCTGTTCAATCTGGACCAACAATATCCAGAAACACCTCATATTTCCCCAAGGAATCTTGGGAATTTCCTGAATGAAAAAGAATGATGTTTAACCACATTGCATTTATTACTGCTTTAATAATTAGACCAAACCGTCAAATATCCATTCAAAGTGGAAGACAGACCAACAGGTTTCAATATAAGGAAGAACAAAATATTCCGATAGGATTTCAGATCCCGTATCTCAGTGAATCTTGAAGAAACTACCAATTGTCAACTTCTGGCATAGTACCAAAGCAGAATATCCTGTTCTCAGACAAAGCTATTAGAGCACCCCTCCCTTTTCTTACTACATATATATATGAGGTTGGATTTCCTTCATCTACTTCCACCAAAACAACAGATTTGCAACAAATGAAATGCAAAAGTAACAAGGTCCAGTTGCCTTCTATTTAAGTCAGATATTAAAAATATTTGCAAAACTTATAAAACCATGCTACTCTTTTTGCTAGAGTATTGTTATCTTATTGTTATTTTTAAATAAATAATTGTATTTTGAATTAAGTTTTCATTTCTTTTTTTTTTAAAGATTTTATTTGGGAGAGAGAGAGAACACAAGTGGAGGGGAGAGGCAGGGGGAGAGGGAGAAACAGACTCCCGGCGGAGCAGGCAGCCCGACGCAGGGCTCGATCCCAGGACCCCGAGATCATGACCCAAGCTGAAGGCAGACGCTTAACCAACTGAGCCACCCAGGCGCCCCTAAGTTTTAATTTCTAATACAGTAAATATTGATAGATAAAACTCATGCTAACAAAACTTCTGGGGATCCTTAGATTTTTTTTTATAGCAATATAAGGAGAAGTGGGGCCAACCAGTTTGAGATACTGCCAGGCTGCAAACAGGTGCTCCTGAATCTCAGAATGTGGGTGAGAGTGGGCAATGAGGGCTGGAACCCCAGGAGGATGTGGTCACAGTCCACACATTTATTTGTTCCACTATTCGGTAACTCAACAAACACTTATTGAATGTTAGCGGGGCATTCCTGAACCCATGGCTATCCTCATGAAGCTTACTGCTGAATCCAGCGTCAGCCCACGTTTCTTGAAGGACTGGGGAGTATATATTTCAGGCTCTGCAGGCCATCTGGTCTCTGTCACAATTACTCAACTCTGCCTAGTGCAAAAGAACCATAGAGGCTGTGTAACAATAAAACTTTATTTATGGACACTGAAATTTGAATTTCATATAATATCCGTATGTCGTGAATTATTATTTTTCTTTTGGATTTTTTTTTTAATTAAAAATTCTTAGCTCACAAGCTCCTCAAAAACAGGTAGCAGGCCGGACAGGTTGGTGGTGTGCTAACCCTGGATACAGTGGGAGAAGCAAATATTAAAAGAAACAAATACTGAAATAAATATGTAATTACAAAGCTGAGCTGAATGACTAAGACAAAGAATAATATGACGTCATCAGAGAGAAGAGGAAGAGACTTGTGTGGTTTTATTTTAGGTTCTCAACCCTGTGACCTACAATACAGGGGGAAGCCTGGAAGGTCAGATGGGAGAGAATACAGAGGGAACCTGAGTGAAAACCCGTCAGGCTGTGCACAAACCAGCTTCGGGGAAGCTAACTGAGTCTACGTCACTTCCAGCCCCATCTTTGACTTCTCATGTACGTATTTTTTAAAAAGGTTAAATACTATAGAATACAAGGTTTTAAGCTTTGGTGGAAAATATGCTTTATTTAAAATCAATATT